TGCGCACCCGCACGTGGTATTTTGTGGAAGAGCCACACTCAAGGGGCCAAAGAGCCGCATGTGGTTCACGAGCCGCGGTTTGCTGACCACTGGGCTATACCATTCCCTTCCCTTCCTATCACTCTCGTCTTCTAAACTCATGGTCATCGCTCCAAATTTATGGACAACTTTGGTTCCTGTGTGCATGATTGCCTTACATCCCACCTTCATCCCGGGAGACTCCACTCGAAATGTGGGCACTTAGCAAAGACCCTGGTCCTCTAGGCCCTTGACGTCTTCCACTTCAGGAACTGTCACCTTCGCTCCCCATCTCTGTCATCCACACCCATGCACACATTCCCATCAATCAGAATTCTCCCTCCTCTAAGACCTTACATTTCCACATCTCACTCTCCTCCCAGCTCTCACTCTTTCATGCCCCCCGCTCCAACTCCTGCTTTGAAACCTGATTAGGGTCCTCACACTGATGTTCTGAACCCAGAGCCTCTGCCTCATCCTCATTTATTTCTCTGTCTAATGAGTCTTTGGTCAGATTTATCCTTTCCTTTCTATCCTCCCCTTCCTATCTTAACCTGTGCTCAAATCCTTGTCCAAAAGTCAGCTGCCTTCCATCTGAATTGTTTTCATATTCTTTGGAAGGGGCTCCCTACCTCTAGTTTTTTCTTCGCATATTCACCTTAACTCAGTCCACCAGGATGTCCTCAACACTCCATTCTGTGTCAGGAAATCCTAGACTTCCTCTCTCCCTTTCTCCCCTTTGACTGAAGACACTCTCTATGGTTATTGACACCCACTGTCCAGTTTAACTTCACTTGTCTTGATTTCCATCAGTCTGGCCTTTGGTCTTTGTCTCCTCACTTTCGTGGAGATCTAGAACTGTCTGTCATCTTGGAGCATCTTCGTTCCCTAGGTTTGGGGTTACTTAAGTTTAGAGGACAGTTGCAAATGCTTTTATAAGATTTTATGTCTTGAACACTAAAATTGAAATGGGACAAATAGACTTTGGCAATTACAGTTTTCAAACAAAGCAATGTTGCCACAAAAGAGAAAACCTAGGAGTCAATAATAATTGTTACAATACCTCATAATTACTGCTTTTGTTATTCACAAAAGAATTTCTATCTATTATCTGATGTGATTCTTATACTAAGTCTAAGAAGCAGCTTTTTTCCCTTTTATAGATGAAGAATTGAAGCACTGACTTCTGTTTATTTACTTATCTAGGTTAGGGCAGCAGCTGTTATTAGAGCAGCTGAATCTAAACCGCATGCTCTTTTTTTTATATATCTTGGTGGGTTAAAAAAAATCTAAATGTGCTCTAAAGGGAAAAAAAGATCAGTAAGGCTTGAATTAAAGCCTAAGGCTTTTGACCCAGAAAATCCCCTGTCCTTGGGAGTAATAGTCTAGGGACATCATGATTTTCCACTATCCTTGAACCATCCTGAAGTTCAAGCAAGGGCAAGGTTATTAAAATACCAGCTCTAATTTTAGAAGGGACACGAAAGGGAACAAGCAGAGATGTGAGGTTTAATCAAAAGTGCTATCACTTATGGATGTTAATAAGCCAGTTATCAGTCTCCCAACGGGTCTGGCACATTTGACCTCATCATCTGGGAGGCACATGATGTTGAGTCCCAGCTTCTGGTCACCGGGCAGATGACTCAGAGCCAGGGCTGCTGAAAGCCTGTTGGAAACAGAATTCCTGGATTCAATAGGAGCCAAGAAATCCTTCCACACACTCTCTAAATAGCATGTGATAACTGCTTCTATCAAACCACAACAGCACCTGGGTGTTTTTCTGACCCATTAAGTTTGGGTGCTCCGAGGATGGAGCAAATGCCTTATCAAGAAACATTTACCCTGTTTGCAGAGTCTTCCTAAAGGTGTCCTCAGAAAACAGATTCTGCCCTGGGTTTACGGTTAACCTTATTATAAAAAGTCCAGGGTGGGAGTAAAATCAATTTAACAACGTGATTGAGTGCTCGGGCCTTGGTCAGAACAGCAGGATATAAAATCATTTCTATGTCTGACCTCAAAGAGCAAGGTGAGTCCAGGTCAGAGCTGTGGGAATCAATATTTGCAGCACCTTGATCCACAGAACTAGTCAGTCAGAAAATTCTAGATGGCTTCAATCACAAATTCTTCACTGGCAGGGGACTTAAGCGCAGCTGAGCAGGAAAAACTCATTCCCAGCAAGCATAACCACTTTTTTTTTGTGATTGTCTTAGACACCTACTAACCCTGGAAATGTGGATTCAGACTCAGAAAGTCTTGGAGTCTTCTGTTCTTCTGAGAAGGTCGAGAGGCCCAGATCCAAGCTAGAGGATGCTGGGAGAAGACTAAAGTGCTTTTTGGTCACTCTGTGGCTTGTTTCTGCATCAGGAAGGTTTTAGAAGGGCAATACCTTCTCTGGTTCCTGAGGATTTCTCCAGCTCTTGGGAAACTCAACCTTTTCTCCAGAATGACTTTGGGGGATGGAGGAGTTAGGGCTGCTGGGGTTGATAGAGGCCTGGAAGGGCCAGAATGCAATTGGACTCAAAGGGTCTGAGGGGGACTGAGATGCTCAGAGTGCTGGTGCTCACCCCTTGGCTGTCCACTGTGGGGTGACTTGTGCCTTAGTCATTGAAGGCCGCAGTGCTTGGACCCTTCCTGTCACTCAACAGGAAAGTGAATACTCCCAAGAATGCTTGAAGCTATCTAGAGGCCTTACGAGGTTGATTCTAAAAGCTGTTATTCCAGTGGTTCTCAACCTTCTGGCCCTTTAAATACAGTTCCTCATGTTATGACCCAACCATAAAATTATTTTCGTTGCTACTTCATAACTGTAATGTTGCTACTGTTATGAATCGTAATGTAAATATCTGATATGCAGGATGGTCTTAGG